GATCAAGGCATAGAAATGAGTGAGTTATTTAAAGATAGGAGGTAAATAGCAAACAAATCGGCTGGAAGAGCTGTAAGTGTTTGTCCCTGGGGAGAAGGAAAAGGAGGTGGGGAGTGAACGATATAAGACTTTTCACAGAGAGTCTTGCAAAACTATTTGATTCTTGAAACTATGGGAAGTAAAACTTTGATAAGAAAAAATGAAGTAAAAACAAAACCCAAACAAAAGCACATGGAAAATTGCTGAGCCTCCCCTAGAAAGCCCTTTGACTCCTGAGGTCCTGGGCGGCCTCCAGGTCACCTTGAGGAACTCAATGTCATGGATGGAGCGGTCAGGGCTCCTGCCCTCCATCCTTTTCCCCCACATTAAATGAAGGACACAGAGCTGGGGACCCTTAGAGAAGCAAGACCCATTTGGATGGATGGACAGAGGAGCACTGTTTATTGGAATAGCCATGAGGTTCTTTAATGTGTATTGGAAAAATACAATTAGCATCTCAAACCTGTGATTTCGTGGAGATTATTGCTTAGGATGAAGCTAAGTTTACTAAGTGAAAAGATTTAAAGGAAAGTTGAGGCTGACAGGAGAGGAAGTAAGTGAAAAGGGAGGAAGTCATTCAGGGAGGGTGAGAAGGACTGGTCATGGAAAATACTGACCTAGTCCAACCCCTCATGTGAGGGACAGGGACACCAAGCCCTGAGAAGGAAAGGTAACTTCTCAGTGTCCAACAGCAAGGCAGTGAAAGAGGGAGGTGTGACTCCAGCTCTCCTGAGAGCACATGGCCAAGAGGCAAGAAACCCAGGCTGGACTGGTCCTGCGCTGCCTGTGGTCGGCTGTGAAACCCTGGAACGCCTTCATCCTCTCAGGTCCTGGGTGTCTTCATCTGCGTAATGAAGGGGTTCTGCAGCTAACAGCAATGATGTTCCTGGTAATTGTAGATAATCATTATGCAGTGCATACTCCCTACTCTTACAGAAACAAAAACAACAATAGCAAAGTCTCATACAGGGTGTGCTATGTACTGAAAACTCTTCTGAGAACTTTATATATGCTTAGTTCATCCTCACTAATTCTGTGAGATAGTGTGGCAACCCGTCTCCAAGAGCCCCACAGTGATTTTTGCCTTCTGGCTGTCATGCTCCTGTATGGGCCTTTTCCACATGGATGAGAGCTCACCTGGGTAACCAGTAGATATTGCAGAAATGATGTAGTGCAACTTCCATAGTTAGATCATAAAAAGACATTGTGACTTCCTCCTTGCTTTCTCTGTCTCTCTCTTGAATCAGTAACTATGGGGGAAGCCGGCCGCCATGTTGTAAGAACACTCAAGCAGCCCCATGGAGAAATTCGAGTGGTGAAAAACGGAGTCAGCCTGCCAACAGCCAACATGAACTTGCCAACCACGTGAGTGAGACAACCCAGACCCTCCAGCCTCAGTTAAACCTTCAGAAGACCACAGTCCTGCTAACATTGTGACCCAACTGAGCTCCTCCCAGATATCTGACCCACAGACGCTGTGAGAGATAATAAATAGCTATTGTTGTTTTAAGTTGCTAATTTTTGGTGTATTTTGTTATGTAGTCATAGATAATTAATACTGTTAGGTAACACTGTCATCCCCATTTCATAGATAAGGACGTTGAGGCACAGAGAATTCAGACACCTTGACCCAGATCATACAGTTAGCAAGTGATTTAAACTCTAGCAGTTTGGATCTATATAAAGTTCATGTAATGAATTAGAATCCCTTTCTTTTTTACAGGAATGAAGATACTCTGTCTAGTCAGAAAGAGAAAGAAATACAGAGCAACAGTGGCAAAGATAAATGGGCGATCGGCACAGTGCAGCATGAAGGACTTGGGCTAGACTTCTGTAAAGTGAAGGTCATGGACAGTGGGAGAGCTCTGCTGCCCTTACAGCTCAGCTGTGATTAGCTGAGGTCGCTGGTCTGTTACCCTAGCTGGGTGGGTGACATAGCCTTGGGTACCTGGGTCTGGGAATCTGACATCCTGAGTAGCCCCATCTGAGGTTCTTATTACCCTGCACACTCACTGTCTGGCCCCAGATCAGAGATTCTCAAAGGCAAGGACGTAGTCTTGCTTATCCATGCCCCTCACCTGGCATAAGGCCAGTCAAGGGAGCCTGGGGAAGTGTATACAGAAGGTCTTCTGGAAAGCCCTGGCTGCGACCTCTCTAGAGGAGACTAGAAGGCTTCTCAGAGGAGGAGGCATTTGAGCTCAGGCCCAAAGGATGAAATAGAAGTCAGCCAGTGCACGAGTGTTCTAGGCAGAGGGTATAGACTCACAAAAGCCTAAGGCTCCAGTTCTTGGGGGGCCAGGGTGAGGGAGTGGAGTGTGCATGGACTGGGCCCCTGGCATTTCTGGAAGCAGGACATGGAGGCTTGGGAGGGGCACAGGGCCATGCTGACAGCAGGTGGAAGGTCACCTGTTTCTGTCTCATGGGGAATCCACTGCACTTGGGGGTTGGGTTTGGGGATTTTCTTTGGAAACCCAGAAGTGGGCAACAAGGCCTATATGCTCAAGTCAGCCCAGAATGGAGAGAGAGTACAGGTGGGGACAAGGCACTCAGGCAGCAGAAGTTATACCTCACTCTCCCTTTGGTGTCTGGCATCTGCCAAGAGCTGGGCTTTCTCCATTTGCCCCTCATTGGAATTAACCAATTTATGTGCCCTGAAAAATTCCCTGTTCTGCCACCTGGGTTCAAATGCTAGCTCTGCCATTTACTAGCTGTGTGATCTCCCCATTCCTTAGTGTGCTCATCCGTAAAATGGGATAAACATACGACCTGCCTCATAAGAACTAAATGGGTTAAAGCATTTAAAACACTTAGATGGGGTGCCTGGATGGCTCAATCGTTAAGCCTCTGCCTTTGGCTCTGGTCATGATCTTGCGCCCCCTGCTCAGAGGGGACTCTGCTTCTCCCTCTCCCTCTACCCCGCTCCCCACACTCCCTGCTTGTGCTCTCTGCTCTCTCTCGTTCTCTCTCTAACAAATAAATAAATAAAAGCCTTAAAAGAAAAAAAATAAAGCACTTAGATGGTGCCTGACCCCCAGCAAGTGTGCAGTTAAGAAGTACCTATTATTATTACTTGATATATATATATATTATATATGTATTTGACTTGCCCTTTTAACTTTTTCAAGTATTTAGCCATCATTTATCTAATGCTTGTTATGTGCCAGGCCTTGTACTTATCCTCTGAAAATAAGGATGACATAGTCCTCCCAGGGGTACAGAACCTTCAGTAAGGCAGAAACAAATATTGGTCAAATGTGTCCCATGCCAGAGACCCAGAAATGCAGGACAGTGGCTTCCTGTCCTCAGGGAGGTCACAGGCTGACTAGGGAGAGAGGGAAGTGGCCCACATTGGCTGGGGACTGAGAGGAGCCCAGAGAAGCTCTGATGAGGGACTGTTGAGAAACGAGGAGTTGCCCATCTTGACAACTGGATCTGCAGGAGACTATAGGAGCAAAGGTCCCCCTTTGGAAGGGGAGGTCAATGAACACCTGCACTCAATCTTTATTCTTTGAGTGTTGGGAAGTCACCAGGGGTTTTTGAACAGGGAATTCTGTTTGAATAATAGAACATAACTAAGTTATTATGTACCAACTGTAGGCTTCATGGTGCACATACATAATTTCATCTACTATAATCCTCACTGCCCTGTGAGATGAGTTCTGTCATCATTCCCATTTTAGATGAGGCAACTGAACCAGAGGTGGGAACCAGTTTCTTTAGATGAAGAAACTGAACCCGTGATGGGAAATAACCTGTGAAGGTTAACCTTAACCTCATATCACCCTGTTTTATTTTTTCTCATAGCAGTTATGGTGATCTGAAATTATCTATTTGTTTTCTTGCTTTTGTGTCTGTCTCTCCAGGTAAATTGTAAGCTGCAGGAGAACAAAGAGGGACCTTCTATATTTCTACACTGTATCCCCCGGCCTCAGATAATGCTGGGCACAAAGTAGGTGCTCCATAAGTTTTTGTTCAAAGCATGCATGTAGTTCATTGCCTGTGTGTGGATGGTCTGTCTTCCCACCAGTCAGGGACTTCACCAGGACTGGTACCTTGGCTGATTCACCTTGGCACCCCTAGGCCCAGGAAGGGTTGGCACAGAGCAGGGCTGGGATACACTTGTTAAATGACTGAATGAACAAAGACTAGAAGGGCTAATGGCACGAATGCCTACTGGGCTCTCTGGGGTCTACACCCCTCTCCTATGAGGTAGCCACAGCCATTGCCAAGGGGCTGCCCTTTGTGGGAAGGAATAGGGCTCAGTAACAGTGGCTTCCAGGCTGGGGACTAACAGCTCCCAAAACTAACTTCTTCTGCCCCTCTGCCATGGAGGTGAAGTGGCAGGAGGAGATGGGAGGGTGGACCTACACTGGGCCCAGACACCTGCGAGTCTGTCTCTTTTAGTGGCCGATGCCCTTGAACCTCATTCTCCAAAGAAGGTTGTGTCGGATCAGCCTCACTTACAAGCAAGCAGGGAAAACCTAGTCCCCAGTCTGCTCCCCACACCCTGCCATGGGCGAGGTGGGCCTGTGACCTTCCAGAGAAGGGGACTTTTCCTTTATTCAAAGAGTAGACGAGGCCCTGGGTGTGCGTTCCCTATAACACATCCCTTTTGTGGATCCCCCCAGCCCTCCCTTCTCTATCACAGCAAAGACTAGGTGTTGTCCTGCAGGTGCCCCTGATCACCCCTTTGCCTGATGGAGAATGCTGACGAGGAGGAATGTATAAAGTCTGTGTGCCAGGCCTAAGCCACCTGCCTCACATCCTCAGCCATGGTCACATGACCATGTAACATGCACAGAGGCACATGGGCACATTAACCAGCTACAAGCAAGCATTGTATCTGGTTGGTAGCGGATGAGAGGCGCAGAGGTCCAGTGCAGCTCCCCGAGCTTCTACCTGATCTCACACGTCCCGGTATGCTGACCCTTATCCACCACCACCACCTCTGCCCCATGTGCACATTGAGCAGACCTGTGCACCAGGGAACATCTCCCCTCCCACCCAGGTTTACTCCTACGCACCCCTCAGCCTTCTATTAGCCTGTCACCTCCTCCAGGCACCCAGGGCTGCTTCCCCTGGCCTGTCTGCTACCTCTGGGGCAGGGACCTCGCCCGGCTCATCTCAGCATCTGCAGCGCCCAGCCCGCAAGCGGGTCCTCACCTGGGTCACCGCGCGCCAGCTTAGGGAGGAGTGGACCAAGGACAAGAGGGAGGAGGCAGAGGCGGCAGCGGCGGGAGGAGCGTGGGGGCGGAGGCGGCAGCGGGAGGGGGCGCGCGCGCCGGCGGCGGCCGCCCAAGGCCGGGGCCGCGCGCCCAGCCTGAGCCCGCCCCGCCGCCGAGCGTCACCGAACCTGCTTGAAATGCAGCCGAGGAGCCGGGGCGGGCGGCAGCGGTGGCGGCGGCGGCGGGGGCAGCGGCAGCCCCGGCGCCGCAGCAAGGACTCGGCGGGCTGAGGCGCGGCGGCTGCAGCCGCACGGGGTGCGCGGGGCGCGCCGGCCGGAGCCCGGGGCCCGCCATGGGCCGCCCCGAGCGGGGCGCGCTCCGGCCGCTGGCGCCGCTGCTGCTGCTGCTGCTGCTGCTGCGGCTCCAACGTCTCGCGGCGGCGGCGGCGGCGGATCCACAGCGCGGCGGCCAAGGTGCGTGAGGCTGGTTCCCCGCCCGACTCTGCGCCGCCGGAGCCGCCAACAAAGCGCGGCCCGGCGACCGGGTTGCGGGGTGCGCTGGGATCCCCGAGCCCGGGCCTGGGTGGGATAGGCTTCTTGGGACCCAGCTCTCCTTTAATTTGCCCTCGACCCCCGCCCCCACGGCTCCCGGTGTCGTTGGCTCTGCCTTCTGGCACCTGCTCCTGGGGGATGGGCCCAGTGGGGGCCAGGCGGGCCGGGAACTTTGTGAAGGGTGGGGGGTGGTCATTGATGGTTTCGGGTGGACTGCGTGATTCTAGCCAGCGAGATTTATTTGACACGCACGCTCCGCGGCGGCGATGAGCTGAGCCGGGCGACTTCCCCGCCTGACAATGCGTTTCCGGCGACCCCTGCGCGCGGCGGAGAAAGAGGGGCTGCGTGCGAGGGGGTTATGCCCGCAGCGCCCAGTGCGTGTGTCGCGGCGTGTTCGGGGGCTCCTTGTGGGGCTGCGTCTGCGTAGATCTCTGACTATGGGCCGTGAGTGCGGGTGAGTGTTCTAAATGGGGGTGTACCCAAGTCGTGTGACACCGACTGTGTCTGGCCTCTAGTGCCACGGAGCAGCCCGCCATCCCATTACCATTCTGCCCTCCTTCCGCATCGAGGGCGCGCGAGGCCCCCGAGGTCGTTGGCTCCATCATCGCCTCCTTTCCTTCACCCCAGTAGAGCCCTCCCCGCGGCCAGGACTGCACTGTCCGCGGATCCGGCTCACGGCCCCCTCTCCCCCGAGCAGGGCCGGTCAAAGAGTGCGAAGAGGACCAATTCCGGTGCCGGAATGAGCGCTGCATCCCCTCCGTGTGGAGATGCGACGAGGACGACGACTGCTCGGACAACAGCGACGAGGACGACTGCCGTGAGTGGCCGGCTGGGGAAGAAGGGAAAGGGGCGGGGAGGGGGGGTGCCGGCCACCTGCTTGGACCTCACTGCCGGGAAGCTGCCCTGGCGCCTCCTTCCTCAGCGTTGGGTGGCTCTTCGGCGGCCAGCGTGTCCTATTGGGGTCCCGGGCAGAGCCCGGGGCTGGTGTGGCCCAGGCGGAGGGCGCGGTACGCCCGGGTTGCCGGGCCGGAACTGGGGGCAAGGACACGACTGTCCCTGCAAGCGTCTAGCTTCCTGCGTTTAGCCCTCCTGGACTCCTGCGTCGGCCCCACGGAACGCGCGGGTGTTTCAAAGTTCTAGGCAATTCCGGGCCTCGCCTTGCTGGGGTTTTTTTTTTTTTTTTTGTGAATGAATGGGCTCCCCGGGGCCCCTGATTGGCCAAGCGAGGACCACCCCATAGGCCCCCGTGGCCAGAGCGGCCAATCGTGGAGCGGGCGGGTGTGCAGTTTTCTGGCGCCGGGGATATAAGGACCCTGCCCTGGCCCCGCCCCAGCCACACCCCCGCGCGCTTCTTCTGTGTAAGTGCCTGTGAGGCCCGGGCGCTGGCTGGCTCCCTCTGCTTTTCTGCCTAGTCACGGTGTAGAGTTTTCTGTGCCACCCTGGGGAGCGGACCACGCTCTCCTGCTGGCCCGGCGCGGGCATGAGTCATGGGGGCAGACCAGGAAGCAGGGGTCCAGGAGAAAGAGTTTGCTTCCTGGAGAGGGCCCAAGGATTCCGAGGCTGCACGTGAGCCTTCAGTTGGTGATGGTGTGCACGTGGCAGGCCGCCTTTGCCTAGTGTGGTGCCGCTTGTACACCCGGGCCCTACAGCTTTGCAAGTTCTTTCTTGCGGTGCTTGTGGTTTCAGATGTTTGTGGGGGCAGAAGTGAGTTGGTAGGCGGTTGCTGTGAAGGAGTGTAGCTCCAGGAACAGAAAAACAGAACTCTTTAGAAACAGACGCGGGTGGTCATACTCATGGTTACTGAGTGCTTGCTTAGTGCCAGGCCTGGGGCACTTTGGGGAAGGGGCCTACCTCACAGGCCAGGGAGCACCGGGTCTGCAGGAGGGCAACAGGTGGACAGATCCACAGCACCACACAGTGGCAGGAGGGGTAGAGGGACACCTGGACAGGTATTGTTGAGTCCTTGAGGTTTGTCTATGGGCTTGCCAGTCAGCCTCTGGATTCATTCTCAGACGCAGTCCAGAGTTGGCTCTGTGTCTTGGGCGCATCTCCCCCTCCTGTCTTCATTTCCTCACCTGACCACTTGGGCTCATGATTCCTGGCTTGTTTTTGAGGACCAGTTTTAGTAGTGTCATTGGAAGTCACGCCACTCACACGTGCTGACTGTTTGCCATGTGCCAGTCCCGTGGTGAGCACTTAATCTCACATAAACTCCTCCACTCTTCTCAGCAGGCCGATTTCACAGGCTAAAGAAACTGAGGCGCTGAGAGATTAAGCTACTTGCTCCACAGTTACTGACCTGCTAAGTAGAAGCTTGAATTTAATGCTTCAAGAAGCCTCATCATAACCTCATCATTGATTTCCTGGTGCTGTTGCAATGATGAAAATGGCAGTGCTGGGGTAAAATATTATAGTGAGTCTCACCCCTGGGAGTTGTTCTGTGATCCTCTTACAGTGGGAGTGCCAAGGATGAGGCAGGGAAATAGAAACTGCAATTCTGGGTTGGTTTCACCTTATCTCCCTGGCTCCGTATAGCAACAGTCTTGTGAGGGTTTTTTCCTGTCATCCCCGTTTGTAGATAGGGATGCTATCTCAGAGACGTTGGGTGATTTGCCCAAGGTCACACAGCTGAGAGTGACAGAACTTGGTCAGGATGTCCACATGCCTCTTAACAAAGACAGCGGGGAGCGTGACGTGGAAGGACCCAAGAGCGTGATCCAGGAGCTAGAAAGCCATGCTCTGCATGTTGGGCCTGTTGCTTCTCATCTCCATGTGAGCCCTCCATGGAGGAGTGAAGTAGCAGGTGTCCGGGTGACCCCTGATGGGACCAGGGGAGCTCTCATGGCCAATCGGGACTCCTGCTTTCCTTCCGAGATGGAGGGGGTAGAGTCACAGGTGCAGAGTTAGTGAACAAAAGCAAATGAGGTTGAGGGCTTGGAGTGGAAAGGGTGGGAGCTCTGGTTCGTACCAGTCCTACATGGCTTAATTTTTCTGAGCTGGTTTCCTCGTCTGCCAAATGGGGCAGCTGTCCCTCCATCATAGGTTGTATGTGTGGGAAGTCTTCAGACAGGGTTGGCGAAGAGAAGGGAATGGATGAGCCCCTTAGATAGGGACCCCAGGAGCCACAGAGAGAAGTCTTGAAGAATGCGGGTGGGGTGTTTGGGTGGCTATGTTGGACTATGTGTTTGAAAGTGGTCTTTCATCATCCCCTCCTTCCCCATGTGGGGAGCTCCCCCCACCCCCACACCCCATGCTGGGCTGCCTGCCCAAACTGCATTTCCTTGAACTACCCTCTCTTCAAGTCTGTTGTCTCCTCCCTGAGCAGGCTCTCTGCCTTATATCTGATACCCTCCTTTGGCACTCCCACCCTTCTACCCTATGAGAGAGCCTGAACCAACCACCTCTGTACCTCTCTGGGCCAGCAAAATGGGCATTGCAATTTGTAAGTGAAGTCTGGGTGAGGCAAAATGAGTGCAAGCTCCCAAAGGGGCCAGAATGCAGCCTAAGAATACCAAATGCTGATGGAGGCTAGAGGGAGGAAGTTTTTATATTGAGGAAGCCAAGGAAGACTTCCTGGAGGAGGAGACAGCTAAGCCAGCCAGGCCTTGAAAGATGATAACTAATATCATTCCCACAAGGCTTACCATTTAAAGATAGTTGGTGCGGTCCCCATATTATGGAGTGGGAAACAGGAGTTCACAGAGGTGAAATGACTCCCCCCAAAGTCACATAGCTCCTCAGGGTTGGAGCAAGAACTCAAACGAAGGGCTGCGAAGCCCTGATCTTTATCCACAGTGGGTGGGACTTGGCACTTACCGGAGACACCGATAGAGCTGGGAGGATGGGGGAAGTGAAATGCTTGTGGGGCTTCAGTTCCAGGTTCAAAAGACCTTCAAAGTGGAGGAAAAGGTTGGAAGCCTGAGGGCCAGGCTCAAGGAAGCCTAAGGGCAGCCCAGCCAGTCAAAGTGGGGTGGGATCCCTGGCTGTGGACCTGGTCACGTAGGCCAGTTGGCTCCTTGACCTGTTTCCTGTTGCTCCTTAGTGTCTGGGGGGCAGAGACAGGGTTCTGGTCTCTGGCCAGCCCTTTGCTCCCAGAGTAACAACAACAACGAACACTTACTGAGTACTTGCGTTGGCCCAGGCATACTCAGATTCTACACGCGTCACCTTGAGCTCCTGGCTTCTATAAAATGGAGCAGGTCTCTGAAATAACCGCATTAGCACCATTTTACAAAGGGACAGAGCAGTTTAGTAACTAGCCCAAGGGTGTATGATTTTTAAGTGAAATTGCTGGGGTGTGAACACAGGCGCCCAACTCTGGCACCTGTGCCGTCTCCAGCAAGTCCTTGCGGATCTCCATTTCTCCCTCTTGAGATGACATCAAGCCTCCCCCCCATGCCCTCCCCAGCTCTGGAAAGAACTCCGTGCTTCTCTTTATGGCCAGGCTGGGGATACAGGTAGACTGGTTTTGTGCTCAAATTCCTCCACCTTGTTCGGGCTTCTTTAGGTTGCCCTTGTTCTCCCAGCCGCCATCAGCCCTCCATGCCAGGTTTAATAAAGAGTGGGTGCAGCACAGTCTCCCATGGCCGAGAGTTCATTAGCTGGGCAACGCCGGGCTGCAGGAGCACCGAGGCTTGCTGGGAAGCAGCCTTGTAAATATTAAAGCTTGGCCACAGTGCCCAGCTGGGGCTTGCAGCCGGCATCCAGCCTTCAGAGTGCTGCCTGGCCTCAGCCCCCGTTCTCACACTCCTGACCCCAGGCCCAGCTTCATCTCCTTTTTGGATGGAGGCGTTGGACCACAGTATTACTCCTCTCTGAACTGTGATTTCCTATCTGACCAGGCAACTCCACCATTCAGAGTCTTCCTGAGCCTCCCACATACCCGCAGGATAAAGGCAACTTAGACTTCTCTGCATTTGGCACTCTGTGACCGCTCCTGTTGCCACTCCCCTCCAGCCTCTTCCTATGAGCCTGCAACACCGAACTGTAGCTTCTCTCTCACTCTGGCCTTCCTACTGCTTCACACCTCCAGGCCTTTGCACGTGTCACTCCATCTGCCTGGGACACTCCTTCTGTTCCCTCCGCTGGCAACCTTCTTATTGCCATCTTAGAAGATTCAGTACAGGTGTCACCTCCTCTAGGAAGCCCTCCCTGCTACCTTCTAGCCCCAAGGCCAAGATACAGGAGTTGAGAGAGCAAAGGGACTTAGGGAGCTGTGTTGAAATCATAACTCAATGGGGCCCTGAAGAGACACACAAGGTTTGTCTCTGTGGGGCAACAAAAGCTGTGACCTTTTGTTGCTAGGTCTTTGGGGTGATAATGTCTCTTCCTCCCAAAGATACTGTGAGGATTAAAGGAAATAATGTGCCTGGTGAGCTGCAGGTATTCAATGAATGGTAATAGGTGTGATTGCTTTCGGAGGGAGGAGCTTCACTGAGGTCTCTAGGTACCTGACTGTTGGGGGGCCCTCTGCGGGCCACCCAAGACCCCCCTGCTTCCCCTGACCCCATTTGCTTGGCCAGATGTCTGAAGGTCCCGGCAGCTGGTTGCCCAGCCATGGTGGATATGGTCCCAAGGCCATTCAGAGGGACCTGGAAGTGGCAGAGAGGTGCCCAGGGAGGGGCTGAGGGAAGAAATGAATCAAACAGGCCTGACTGATCTCAGTGGATGAGTGGACTGGGGCCCTGAGAGAGGCAGAGGACGGCTTCCCTCAGGCCCTGTGTTGGTCCTGAGGCTGGTTTCTGTCCTGTCCGGCTGGTGTGGCTGTGCCTGGGAAGGGAAGGAAGCCCTACAGCCCCCAGGGCTCTGCCCAGCAGG